TAATCACAATTATTGATGTGTGTGTAGGTACTGTAAAAAAAAAAAAGCTCAGCGCTGTCAACTTTTTTGCCTGTCGCTCGAGCGACAGTACGATTTCAAATGTTTTGGAATCACAGTTTTAAAAAAATATATGTATGGTTTTTATTACTGATATGGGTAATCCTAATGGGTTTTAGCTTCGGATGGAGTATAACGGAGGTAAACGCTGAACCTAGTTGACAACTAACTTGCTCTGGCCGACCTTACTGATGAACGCACTTGATTTCCCAGGTCAAGTGTCACATTTTATTTCCTGTCTGTCAGTCAGGCCAAATTGCGCAGTGAGCATGATTAATACATTCATGGTTTTACAGCAGGTTTGGAGCACAGCACACTTTGGATTAGTCCACCGTGGAATGCAATCCATGGGTCCAAATCTGTTTTCTCCTGGAAGCTTCTAGGAGAGGGTTAGCCCTTCTTAGAGGGGTTGAGCAAATTTTTATTATAGGGTCAAAATGATTTCAGACAAAGTGATTGCCAAAGCTGTGTTTTTTTTTTTTGTTTTGTTTTTGGGTTTTTTTGCGCTCAAGCTCACCAATCAGAAGTGTCCTGCTACTTGTTGACAGGTCATGCTAACTAATCAGCTAAAAATAAATAATAATAATCCTCTCGTCTAGAACTTAATTTGAAGCAAAGCGTGAATTGCCTCGAAATCACAATATCTGACAGAGAAATTGAAAGATCTCTTCCTAAAATTCTTCAGGCTTACTTCTTCATACTACTGGTTAAAAAAAATTACATTTCATAAATATATATGAAATATAAATAAAGGCCAAAGCAACAACAGCTGCAATAAAATAGGCAACAGCGGAGGGTTAGTTTGTGATGAGAGCATATCACGAATTGGAGGATCAAGGAATCTTCACGCCACACCTTTTGCGCTGACTCATTATGGGGCTTCTCGCAAGAAAACATTTGCACTCGTGTTATAAATGTACCGTGTCGTCAAAAAGTCTTTCGGAGTGATTACGGCTCATGAAATACAGTGACGTGAAGAAGCATTAAATCCCCGGGGTGTTAAACATGTCAGCCATGGATGCGAGTATTTCTCAGAGCCACCTGCTCGGCGCCAAGTGTGCGCGTTCGCAAGCATGCGGGGGGGGAAAGTTCAAACTTGGAGATGTCTTTCATGTTAACCCACGAGGAAGCTTCCTCGGATGAAGGTTTTGATGAAAGGAAAGTCACACTGCGCACCAAGTGAAACTGCTCATTTGCGGAGGTGGGAGGAAGTCACGTATGTGCAAATTGGATCCATTTTCATCCGCCTATGCAATGTCAGATTGCGGGGGGCAGCACATTAAGCTTGGAAGCCCAAATGTTCCTCTCCCCAGCCGCTTCATCCAGCTTGTCTGGGGTAAGCCTGAGCCCTTCCCTGCCCAACGTGTCCCAAGTCCTCCCGGGGGCCCCATTCGGGGATGTGCCAGGAACACCTCACCAGGTTGGTGTTCCAAGCCGGATGATTCTAACCAGATGCCCGTACCACCTCAGCTGGCTCCTCTCGATGAGGAAAAGCAGCGGCGCAAGTCTGACTCCAAAATGAGGGCCAGTTGCAATTAAGTCTCATCCAGTCTAAACCTTCAAGTTTTCAAGAAGGTCCCAAGTCACTTCGGCAAAAATCAGGCCAATCGAGTCCTCACTACATTTCAAACAAGTCATGGCTTCGTTTGAGGAAGTTGAGTCTAGTTTCCAGTCTCCATATTGTCCCGAGCTGCCAACTCTTAACCGCTTGTCCGTATTTTCTCATGGGACTCACTCAGCGCGCAGTCGTTCCGCGGCGCTTTGATGTCTCCACTTAGCTTTCC